TGCAGTTGGGAACAATTCTTATCCCCAAGATTGCTATGCAATTACATGCATTAGGGGCTACTCATCCTTCACAGTTGGACAGGTGCTCATGCCCTTCCCTTCAAGAGAACCGGTGTATGTAATTGTTATGCGAAGCACTTGCAGGTTCGGCAGGAGATCGCAGCGCGGAAAACAAAAAACCTGCAACGAAGCTGCCAACTGCTGACTTTTTTCATGCACATCATCAGTCTTGCAGCAGTTTGGCTGCACCAAAATTGGAGGAAGTTGCACATTGCCACACTGCAAGGAGAACTTCGAAGTTAGCCTCCTAAAAGCCTAGGCCTTGGACACCAGGTTGGGAAAGAAAACAAAGCAATTTCTGGATAGTGCTTTCAACCCAACGCACACATAATCGTAAACAAGTGGGATCATCAACATCACATCTAAGTATTTATATAAATCAAAGATGCTTCAAACCAACAATCAGATAGAATATATTTGGTACACCCAATCTCTTCCAAGATGACTCGTTCAGAGGTCTTTAGTCAAGCCACATCCCACTTGATTTTTTGGGAAATAAACAAACATGAATCCCGCTAGGCAACGTGCACCCTGTACTTTTTTAGCCGTAGCATCCGCAGGCGGCATGACTGTGGTAGAAACCCAGTCGAGAAACCCCACATCAGAATGACACTTTGTCATCTTGGGAAAGGGTTCTGTCTCAGGCTGATCCGATGATCCAGCTGGTAGCCGACAAATTCTCATCTCCAAGCTGCTCAGTTTCTGGACATGTTGATCCACCTTCCCAGGATGGATCTAGACATTTTCAATTCAAATGTATCAAATTAGATCATCACGCTTTCTATTAGCAAATGGACATGTTTTCCCCACCGGCCAGGTGAGTGTCTCTAGGTTTTGTTGGCACTGCCGGACCTAAACAGCGAGCGCCAAATCGCAGTGGGCTATGCCGGACCTCAGCCAGATGCCAGAGAGAATGTCAGAAAGAATGCCAGCCAAAAAATTATGACAGGATAGGTGCCAAATAGAATGCCAGAAAGAATGTCAGATAGAATGTCAGAAATCATGCCATATATATATATACTTCCAGATGGTATGTCAGAAACTGTGGCAGAATAGTGTTTCAGGGGATCTCTCGGATAATTTTGTTCCGATTTCCAGCAGATTCTGACTTTTTACCGCGGCTCCAGGAGCACCAAAAGCCACATCAACCTGGCCACCAACACGGGCGGGCGAAAAAACTGTGCGCTTCGAATTTCAGCGGTGGAGCATCCTGACACGGAGGACGGCAAGCCGTGGGAGCAAGCATCTAAAATGGTGATTTTCACCAACAAAGTTCATGGGATTTAAATGGTTGGTTCATGGGATATTACATGATCTGAATTCGGGACTGGGAAAATATGGGATATTACTGGGATAGGTTTGACTGAAAATGTTGGGAAAACACCGCTTGTTAAACACACAATGTTTCCCTTCAACCTTTCTCAACGTTCCGGATAAATCACCTCGCGGCTTTCTGTTCATGTATCTGCAAAAACTGTCTATCATGCAGTGTAATTACCACCCCAGAAACAATAGAAACAAAAAAACAAGAGTATAATTTACCACTATTCTAGTGTGATGATACGTCCATCTTTTTGGGGCTTCCGCTTAGGTTATTTCTTTCAGAGGTATTGAACCATCATGGAAACACTGGCCAGCGCATGAGTCACTGACAATATTACCCACATATACTATAGCTCATAGTCCTCAAGGTGCCTCCATCCCATTCCATAGGAATCCAAAATCCAAACACATTGGGTAAATCTAAGTCTAAATCTCTATGAAAAAATGGATTGATGACTGGATAACGACTCATGAGATTGTCACTTGCACAATATGTTTCATAGATATCATCCAAACTATAGGGTGATTTGCCTTCCAACACAAGTCGTTTTGCCGAGCCATGTTTAATTTCAGACCCCTTCATAGCAGGTCAGAGATCAGACCCACAAAGTTTGGTGATCTAAGGTTCCAAACATGTATCCATGTGAATGGCAAGGTTCCCAATGTCCAGCCATACAATGACAAAAACTGGTTCCCCCCCAAGTTTTCAGTTTTTTGTCCCCATCTAACTGAATCCAACTGCAAATTTATCCATTGTGGACCACTTATTGTCTTTCAAAACCAATTCACCTGGATGTTTGTTGGCTATATATACACGTCAAACAAACATATTACACATTGATCCTCATTTTTGCTGGCTAAATCTCACATGTGATTTTTGAGATCCGTCTGATGATCGACCGCTGCCAAACTACTGCACCCTCGGACGCGGAAGATTTGTTTGGCCTCGAGCAAAAGCTCTCCAAGATGATTTCTTCAGAAATGACGAAACATGACTCAATTCTATAGGGCTGATATATGTATATGTATAACAATCACATATATGATATATATATATACATACACACATATATGAAATGTATATATGTTATATGCAGTATGTGGGTAAAACAACAAAAAAAATGAAATTCAATCTCCTTGATATGCAATGATATGTTTATGCTAAGTTATACATTTCCACCCAGTCATGATTCAATGATTCAATGATTCAATATTGCTGGCATGACTGGATGGGATTTATATACGCAATTCATGGATAATCCTTTGAGAAACAACCATGTCTGAATTTCTGAATGGATTGATTTAGAGATATTTTGAGTATATAACCACCAAACAACCAGAAACAACATGAATCAAGGGATTCTCTAGGGAAAATCCACAACAAAATGGCCTTCAGAGATGGATTCCCATGGATTTTTGCTGCAATCTACCGGAAAGATGGTGTAATCGTGGTTCATAAATGTTAATAAGATTCATAAATGGTCAGCTAGGCCTTCAGAATAGACAGTTTTTTTCGCAAGCCCTGAAGTTGGTTGGATCACCATCTTTGAAGCCAGGTTCCCAAAATGCTCAGAGTTTGCGAAACGTTCCCGATACCCTCTGGTAAACGTTTACATAAGTATGGAAAATCACCATTTTCAATGGGTAAATCCACTATTTCGACTGGGCCACTTTCTATGTCGCAAACTGTTAAGTTGCCAGAGGGTAATATACAATAAAACCTCAAGGGACCCAAGATGAGCAGTTTCATAGATCCAATACACTTCACCATGGTTCTATTGTGGTTTCCAGTATTTACTTTACACCGTGGCAGCCGGACTATCTTAAAATCGCAAAAAACTGCGAGTTCTTTCTAGGCCATGGCTCCAATTTAGTTCGTGGTCAGTTCATGGTGATATGGTGATACTGTCAGAGGATTAGGATATATTATGATATAGTTTGCATTTCTGTCAGTTTATTAACTCCAATGACTATGGCCTCTGGCGTTTCTGGTACTTGTAACTGGGTCTAGAAATTTATAACTGGAGGGCCCCTCCTTGTAATCTCTAATATATTTTGGTAGGATAACCGGAAGTAATCATCCAGCAACTATAAGGATGGTGTTTGAAACTGGTCATCTCGTTGCAATGTCAAATCATCTTGGAAGAGCGGAGACGGTAGGTGCAACGACCTGCAACGACCTGCAACGACCAAGGGTCGCCGCATTCTTCCATTCCGCTCATGATCAGGCTCCACAAGTGTTACAAGGATCATCCTCAAAAATGAGAGCTGAAAAGTGCTCAAGAGATTATAGATTCCAAGAACATCTGACAACGAGACGAAACATGGAATCTACTTATTTGATGTGCATAGCTACATTGCAAAGCTTCGCAAAAAATAATAATATATATTTTGCTTATTGGATGGAGCTGCAAAAATTGGTCTTTTGTATTTACCCATCCCATCTCCAAATCTTCGTCAAGTATTTCTACCCAGTGGCTCCGACCATCTACCAGTGAGAAGTTTAGCACAGTTCACCGGTTTGAAGCTGTAGCATCTCAGACAAAAGGCACTTGACATGCAAACAACACTGCAGACTCCGTTTGTTTGTTGGTCATGACATGCTAAATGGGACTTCTTCATGTTTCAGAGAATTGAAACCCCAACATTCAGCACAGCATGCTACCGTACCCCTGAGGGGTTATCGCGACTCCGTCTGAGACCTCCAGCAAATTTTATCGATTTGTTCTGCAGATGTGCATGATCTTACATGCAGAATTCGCTCCATGTCATGCGTTTCAGCTTCTGTTTCCGCAGCATGAAGGCAAAAACAAAGAAACGATCTGAGCACAATATGACCTCCATTGAAGTCATTGCTTTTGGTATTTTTTGTCATGCGCCTTAAACAGTCCACCACTGGCGCGAAAAGTGCCAAGCACCAACTGATCACGCGGCAATCAGTTTTTTTTAAACCGGTCCCTTGAAGGTCTGGAAATCCACCAGCACACCAGATACACCAATATATAGGAAAATATGTATTTATTAGTGTATTGTAATATATATATATATATATATATATCATATTATATGTATATACACATATATATCCTATTACATCATATTACATCATATATATATATATATATATACTGTACATATATATATATACTGTGTATATATATATATATTGTATGTGGGTTTGTCGGAACATGAGGGAACATCTATGAACATGATGACTTGCCGATAACACTGAACCACCGGCTTGGAGTATTGTTTCCCATAGCTAATGCTTTATCTTGGATAAACTGTAACAATTTCATGTCTTTGCTTATATTGTCCCTCCATTTACAGAAAGAGAAAAGACACTGCTAAAAACAACCGTTGAAGTCCGAATTTGCTGCTTTAAACCACTATGTTTGATGATTAGTAAACTATGCAATCCCATATTTGGAAGCTCAATTCCTACAACGGTTGACGTATGTTGTATGGTTAAGTCATGTTAAATCACCATCTTCATTGGATCTTGGCTCATTCTTATCACCATTTTGAATGGTCAAATGAGCATAAATATCATAAGTCAGAACATTTGGATGGTGAAATCAGCATATCATATATATATATATATCGGTTGATTAAATCAGCATTTGGCTTGGTGAGTTTGATGGATTTTGACTTTTTGTCCGTGGCTTCCCCATGGGTTTCGCCTAACATTTCCGACGCAAGACATCGTGGCGTGTGATGGCGTGTGACGCACCCACCAAGATGGCCTGGGGCAACAAAAATATACAAAAATCCTGGACGTTTCACTGGGGATGATGCTGAATTCACTGGGATTTCACTGGGACTTTATGGGATTTCATGTGATTTTTGATGAATTTTGATCATATGTGAATGGTTTTTCATGGGATTTCACCGGGGCTTCATTGGATCGAAATGCGACTTGATGGGATTTTAATGATTTTTAATGGGATTGAATCGGACTTTTATGGGATCTAATGGGGATTTAATGAAATCTAATGATGATAATTTGAGAGTTGATGGGAGTGGGCTGTAACGGGATTCTATGGAATCTAATGGGATCTAATGAGGATTGTCTGTGAGTTGATGGGTTGTTAGTGAATGGGGAACTAATATATATATATATATACATATACGTACATATATGCTATGAGATTTCATGCTTTTATGGGTATATACGAGATATTGATATCACTATGATGGAGGATGATTATCCTCGCAAAAAAGTCGTAAAGCCAATGAACAACCTTTTGGGAGATGGTTTATGCCACTTATCTGGTAAAAATTGGGGGGGAATTAGTTTATGATTGGGTTTAATTACACTTGACTTAAGTGTTGTGAGATTTTGAGTTTGTGGTTAGTGGTGGAAGTCATAACCCTTCAAACAACCACCAATCGCTAATTCGAGCAACAAGAATCTGTAGGTGGAGAAGATGTTCCCTCGAACCAATTCTGGAACACTAAGACCCCACACAAGAAAGTACTATATGTGGTGTTCATCAACCATGGACGATAAACAAGTTTCATCACAGTATATATGTGGTTCGCCATTATATATACGATGTACCATCTGGTTATTTAACATAGCCATGGAAAATCACCATTTTTAATAGGTAAACCATCTATAAATGGGCCATTTCCCATGGCTATGTTAAATAACCAGAGGGTATATGCTATGATCTACTCATGTTTCTGTATAGGTCAAAGATCACCAAACGTCGCAGGACTCCCAGCTGTTTTGCCAGAAGAGTGAGATTTTCACCACCTTTTCGTCCGATGAGTTATCACCACCACCACTAAAAAAAGGCCAATGGCTGTGTCTGAAAATGGTTTAAAAAGGGCCTCCCCAAAAGTTGCACAATGATTTGATGAGGAAAACAAGGTTCTCAACCGTTCGAAATTCTGAAATCCAACAACTTTCAGCCCAAAAGATCTGGAATTCCCCCCTGTTGGAGCTACCGCGCAGATCTGCTGTTCTGCAAACGTGATATACCCTCCAATTTATGGCATTCCAAATAGGAACCATGAGGTTCCAAAGCGTTGAATTTGTGTGGGGCTTCCCAACATTTTCAGTTAGACAGTTAGACCATGTTAGACTAGAATTCTTGGCTATATCCCGTTTTATCCCCAAGATATCCCCATAAAATGCCACCACAAATCACCACATAAATCTCCATAAAATCCACCTTTTTCCAAGTGACCAGTGGGCCGGAGAGTCTCAAGCCATGCAGGGTTGCCAGAATAGCCAGAGTCGCCAGTAGGACACTGTTCCTGATGATGGCCCAAAGATGAAGTCGTTCCGCAGCGCGACGTTCCTGTCAGATGGAAAAACATATTTAAACTGCTTGGTGGTGGGGAAAAGCCCTACCCCTCTGAAAAATGATGGAGTGAGTTCGTCAGTTGGGATGATGACATTCCATGACATTCCTATATGGAAAGTCATGTCATCCAGTCATGTTCCAGTCACCACCAATCAGTTTAAGTCTAAGCAAAACATGCTGAGTTCAGATTTTTTGCTGAGTTGGTGGTGGTTTCAACTTAAGTTGATTTGGATGATCAACGGATGGGAGAATCACTACTTTCACGAACAAGAAGACATATGATTTGTCATTTCACACAAGAGTAAGAATAAGATTGAAAGGTCCAAGAAGCAATAACATGGCACAACTTACTCAATGTTCATCATGTTTTTCATTTACATTCCCTCACTTGCCCTCTATCCCCTTTTTTCCTACTGGTTTCTTACTAGGGATTCACATAATGGGTCACAAAATCCCCAATAAACTAGGATAAACTAGGTTGATATAACCCCCGAAATAATGTATCACTATCAACCATCATTTATCAATGATACTGTATCATGTTTACAGTACTTTTTTGGGGCATCTATAAACAATCTATAAGTGATAATTAGATCCCATCAAGTAACCCGATATCAACCAGAGTTGTGCTGTCACTGCTCCCTTGGACGCATTGAATGAACAGAACACCTTAAGAAACGATTGTGTTTTTCCACAGAAAAGTGGAGGTTTCCAATGTTTCCGGTTCCAATTTTACCTGAATCCAATCCATTGATGGAAACAATCTTTTCCCCGCTATAAATCTGGGCAAATTATAATAATTCACTAACATGAATTAAGGCCATTTGGGGATGAGTCCCTTTATTAACAATGATTTCCAGTGAGGTCGCAATGAGGTCGTTGTAATTTACCCAGATAAATTTCAGCGTGGCATCCGAGATCACCGTGGGCAACCTGAGCAATGGGTGATGCAATACCAAGGCAGCTTGCTCGCATGGCGAGAATGGATTTCTTCTCACGGGATGTTATGTTTAGTACAATAGTGTGGAGCCTACAAAGATATACCCTCTGGTAAACATACAAAAAGCTATTGAAAATGGCCATTTATAGTGAGTTTTCCCATTAAAAATGGTGATTTTCCATAGTTATGTTAAATTACCAGAGGATAGGTTTGAATTGGTGAAACAACTACATACCAATCAGGGTATATGGTGGATATACATCTGCAATTAGGTGGGTTTACAAACCAGCTTGTAAACGGCAAGGAGCCACTTTGTAGATGGTACTTAATTGATGATAACTCGGGTGAAAATTAAGGTTTGCTGATGATCACGATGATGATGATTATTATTATCATTATCATTATGTTAGTATTACTATGATGATGATGGTTTTTCATTCACACGCATTGAGTCGAGACGACTGTGCGGACATGCAAGGAGAAGCCATCGATCCATTCGTCAACCAAATTTGTACAAACTTTACACTGGTTGATAGTCAGGAAGGAAAGATGACAGGAATGCAGTTTCACTCCGATGTGCCAGCGCCTGGGCCCACGAACGGGCGTTGGGATCGAAGGTTGGCCACTGTACAGATTTCGTGCCAGATTGCTGCAAGCGTAGCCTGATACTTCGAAAGGCCGAACGCACCAATGCTTCGCAAAGGCCGGCAGGATATTCCTTTGCCGCTGCAGTTCTGAAGCACCCTTTGGTGCGATCGAAGCCAGCTAGGACAGCCGTGGGTCTCGTCAAACCGGGCTTTCTACACTCATGCAGGTGCTTTGCCAGTTTGGGCAGTCCTAACCCTCTCAGAATGGTCGGTTTCACCGACATTGCTCCATAGCGCCACTGCTCGATGCGAACCAATTGGGCCATCGGAGCACGCATGACCAAAAGGCGATGAATCGTGGTTCGCCAGATCGAAGCGAAATCTTCATTGTCAGGCAGCGCTGGGTGCTCCATAATGCTTCCGCCTCCAGCTAAAGAGATCAAGACCTCCAAAAGCAAGCTGTGAAGCATCAACCCAGAGCCAGTTCCAAGCTGACATAGTTCGCGCATCGACAAGCCAATGAGGCCCCATGCATGCTGACAGGAGCGCAAAGGACGAGGACCTTTACCTTGCAGCTCTTCGCACAAAATATGCCGGGCTGCCGTCCATGTCTCGCATGGTGGCCCGGTCATGCCCAGGGCAAAGGCATGGCCACTTGCAAGGGCTAACGCATGATTGAAACTGTCTCCTTCCAAAAGGTTACCCAACTTGGTGTCGATGGCTGTGTCCATAGAAAGGGAAACCACATGGAATTCCGGCAGCAAAAGAGGTGCAAGAGTCTCAATCCAATGATGGCAGTCAAAAGCTCGCCGTCTCCCAGAAAACATGTGCAGTACAAACAGTGTAGGCTTCTCGTGGTAGCCCATCACAACTGGAACCGCCGCCACATCAGGCCATGTCAAAACTGGGGGAGCAACTGGGCGTAGGAGCTGAGCTTGATCGCAATACCCACTGGGGAAAGGCTCAAGGGACACCTTCTGACGAGAGTCAGCGGTCACAGGAGACGGTTCCACCGTGGGGGCATCTGGTTCTCGTGCACGGTCAAGTTTGTCGAAGGCCGTCAAAAGCTCATCCATCTCAAAGAGCTTGGCCGCCTCAAAGAAGGCATTGTCCATACAGATCTGAAAGTCAGGATCTTCAGTGCATTCCACCAAGCTGGGGAGAATCGTCTGCCCCCACAACAGAAAGGCCCAAGTGGCCAGGTGAGTCATGCCTGCATCTGCATCTGCAAGATCATCCAAAGCTGTGAGCCACTGGTGCATCAAATGATCCTCACATAGATCAGCAAGATTTGTGTTTTGTCTCCAACATAAGGTTGTATCCGTGCACTTGTCATAGACAGTTTGTTTGAAATCAGCTGGCAAAGTGTCAGGATAACCGCATTGGCGCCATTGCTGCATCAGCTGAGCTCTGCGGGCTTGTTGCTGACATTGCCATTGGGTTGGCATCACATCTGGCATTGGCCCTTCAACCACACTGGCCGGCAGGCGCGATATGCCACGCGCAAAGTCTGGAATGGCACAGCGTGCAGGGGCTTCAAGCGGCTGAAAGTAGCGCTGCAAAACGTAGTAGCATCCATCTGTATGTCGACGACTCCAACGTAAATGCTGCTGAAGGCGCTGAACAGTCCAGAAGCACCGGTTGCAAGCGCGACACGTAGTGTCATAGACAAAGCGTCTCTCGTCAGAGATGATCTGATGCTGACGCCATCGATGTGCTTGAAGTCCTTGAACAGAACTGAAACCACGGCCACACAACGTGCATGCAAACGCGGGATTGGAGGCTAGAAGAGGTTCCTCAGGTATCTGATCAAAAACCACACCTTGCAATCTGCATGCTTCATAGATCTGACGAGTCTTCCGTTTCAGGTCAAAGGCAAGCTGATCTTGCTTGACAGCTCGTCGGACAAGTCTCCGCACCAAGGATGGACCATCATGGCGATGGTCATGCAACCATTGAAACAAATCCGCAGTCGTATCGACTGATGTCTGAGCAATGCCAGTTGGATCATGAAGCCGAAGCCATGTAATTGCATGTCGAAGAGCAAGGCACCAAGGCGAGCCTCCATCTGATGCATCTTCAGCAGTAACACAAGTAATGAGGTCTTGCGGGGCATTCTGAACCATCTTGAAGGCATACAGCAAACGGTGTTTGGCCAATCGAACAGAAAGCGCTGGCAAAAGCCAATGAGCTCGAAGGTCATCATCGGACTTTCGATCATCATTCCAGAATCCATCTGCAACAATGCGACGCTGCCATTGAGTGATGACATGAGCGAGCTTCGTGTACATGCGATGGTTGAGCAGTGGCCATGTTCCGGATCCATAGAACACAATAGAGAGTACAAGGGACTCAAGCAACTGTAAGCGCACTGCAGGAGCAATCTTCCTATTGCTGAAAATGGCTCGTGACATTTGCCGAAATGCCGCGGAAGCTTTTCCGATACGCCCAATCAGCTCAATGTGCAAGGACATGGACTGGCTGAAGATCGTGCCTAAATGCTGGTATTGACCAACAACATGCAGTGAAGAGCCATCCGGCAGAGCAAGTCGCCCAGCATGTTCCACGAAGCGCCGATGTCTACAAGCAACTGCATCAGGTCCATGGTACTGGCAGACCAGTTCAGTCTTACCTGCTTGCATGTTCAATTGCAGGCCATAGGAAGTCATGATGCGGCGCACTTCAGTCAGAACAGCAATGATTTGTGCATCCAAATCCGCAGCTCGTACCACTGGCACTGGAATCGCCAAATCATCGACCCAAGTGATCAATGGAGAGGAAATAGGCAATTGCACAGCAGCTGCATTCATGGGTCCACACTGACGAAGAAACGGCAAAATATCATTCAGGATGTTCAACATGGTAATGTTGTAGGCAATGTCGGCCAATGGACTGCCAGGTCGGGAACCCCGGTGCGTTCGATGGCAGTCATACTGTCCATCAACAACATACCAAGTGAAGTCATGAGCATCACGAACAGCTCGTTGGAGCGCACAATTGGGCATGGCAGCAAACCGTTCACAATGTGGTGCAATGTCATGACACAGCTGTGCCACATCAAAGCCAGCTTGAGACAAAACTTCACAGAGGCGAGGCGGTAATGTGGAACCACCAAACGCGTGCTCCCTGATCATGTTGTGAAATGCCGCCTTGACGTCAAAGAAAAGCACCCCAAAGGACATCTGCGCTCGAGTGGCAAGGCCACAGAAGGTGCGCAACAAATGGGTTGCGAAACTTGTCTGCTGACTGCAAAAGCCTCCCATCTGAGCTGGCACTTTCATGTTCGTTGTCCAGCCAATGAGCATTTGGCGCAAAAGCGCGTGGTAAATTTTACCACATGTGGTCAAAAGCATGATGCCACGCATGGCATCTGCTCGGAGGATTGAAGCTTTCTTTGGTATCACATGCATCTTTCCTCCTTTCCACTGAAGAGGTTCAGCACCTTGCACATAGGCTTTCAGGATCAGTTGATGCAACGCATCAGAAGCTGGCAGCGCACAAGTGCGGAGAGTTTCAGCTGTGACATGGTCCAGGCCCGGTGCCTTTCCCCGCTTGGCTTTGCAGCATATACGCTCAATGTCAATCCGTGATGGGAGGTCGGCAATGGGGATGACCAACGGGGCATCGGCCAAGGCTTCTTGTTGTGCACGATGACAGTCAAGCAAAAGGCGGGAGTATGGTGCAACTTCACCAGCTTCCAAGCTATCAAAATGCTGCACAATGTCCGTAGTAGCTGGCCCTACACAACGCAAATTGTTGGTGCGCTTGGCGGCAGCTTTCGGTAGCAGGGGTTTCAGAGTCTTCCACAGATTCGGCAGCGATTCATCAGAATGGCTCTGTGCAAAGTTCTGGTAGTACTCATTATCGTCTTGGCGGACACGTTGTGCAACAGTAGCACACAGGCGTTGATGACATCGAATGTGCCATGCAAGATCAAAATGGCCATGCTTCATCCAAGAACCAGACTCCGGAAGAGATGAGGAAGCGGGTGCAGTACGCCAGCTGTCAAAGATGCAGCGCAGGGTCATGATCCGAAGAGTATGCCGGATCTGTCGCACCCGTTTCCAATGGTACGCCTTGGACTGAATCAACTCCCACGTGGCGTCTTGCAAATGTCGCTTCCGCGGAATATGCTTGCGTCGTGGCTGACATTGTTGCAACCAGCGGTGAATGTGCACGGCATGTGAATGGACATCCATCGACCATGGAACAGCAGGCGGAACTGGCACTGTCGGTTCATGGCCATGAAGTGGAGTCGAACATGGTCGCGGAGCCCGTGCACTTTGCCAAAACGAAATTGGGACATCTGCAGCAACCACATAGTGATCTGGACGATGCAACGCCAAGTCAATGTCCATGACAAAAGTCCGCAAATCCGGGTGGCGAAGGCATTCATCAATGAGCAC